ATTCTGTTTTTATTAAGAATGCAGTGCAAAATTATAAATCCATCTGCTGTAGATAGGTTATTTTTCCAATTACCTAGTTGAAGACAAAGGTCTAGCTGATTAAAAAATAAAAGGGTAGAACTTGCAGACTATCAGGTTAAAGACTACATAAATGCATTAGCCGGGCATGGTGGCGCATGTCTGTAGTCCCAGCTACTCGGGAGGCTGAGGCAGTAGGATTGCTCGAGCCCAGGAGTTTGAGGTTGCTGTGAGCTAGGCTGACACCACCATGGCACTCTACTCCAGGCAACAGAGTGAGACTCTGTCTCAAAAAAAAAAGACTACATAAATGCAAAGTATTGATATTGGCAAGTGTCTACTTGAGGCATTCCCTTTCTTCTTTAGATCACTCTCAAGGGGGATTTTCCTTCTAATTGGTCACCTTTTTCTCAGTGAAGCAAATCCATTGAGTTGCAGATCTGTTGTTAGTTTTAGAATGATTTAGTCAAAAGCTGTGGTGGGAAGTGATTGCCAAGTGTGCAGGCAGGAAGCAATGTAAAATGGTTTGGCATGTTGGTAAAGTTTCAGATAATACATAAGGCTCATCCAGTATCGGTCTATTTGATTGGAGCTTTTTGATTGGCTGGAGAAACAAAAGTTAATATGATGAAGTAGCATTCTTATTTATGAGTTCTGTGATAATGTAATATGCAACTTTCATATAGCTTATGACAAAGTCTGTTAATCAACTTTTGGTTGAATAAATCTAGCCTGCTTCATTTCTTACTTGCAAAATTCTTCTCAAGGGAGACTGAATGAAACATGGCCAGGATTCCAGCCCAGAAGGTAGAACTTCAGATTGAGTGCTGGGAAGGAGCGGATATCCCACAGAAGGTTATTCGGCTAGACAGAGCCAGAGGATAAGTAAACATAACTGAGAGTGAAGCTCAGGAACACCAAATACTAAGAGCAAGCCCAGAGGAAAGAATTGAGTACATTAGGTACCAAGGTGCTTATTTCAAATTGTTTTGAATAATACTGGGGTGACCTCAGCTCAACTTTATAATATAAAGATGCATAGTCTGGGTGACCCAACCCAAAATATGAGGTTAAAGTAGAAATGAACTTTGATATCCGTCAAGGTCTACATTGCTCTTTCTCCATGTTGGCCATTTCGCTCTTCTTCAAGAGGACAAGCACCAAGAAAAGCCAGAGAACAAAGAGGCAAAGTAACTTTCACCACCAGCAATTAGGGTCTTATTTATATGTAGTATTTTTGCCTTATAAATATGAATAATGAAAATTTGATTTTCCTCAACCAGTTTTATTTTTTTTTCCAAATATAAGAGATCTTAGTATGCCTCCCCTACTTTAGTAGTTATTCTTCTTTACTGAGGTTACTACTCTCAGCATTCCGACAAGCTCCAAAAATAATAACCTGTGTCGTGTATTGTTTAACGTTCAGTCAGACAGCTAGATACAGATGGATGAGTGCTGTGTCGCACAAAGACAAGTCAGTATTATTTAATCAATGTTTGTTTGATCCGTGTAAAACGAGTATAAATGTAAGCTGCATCCCATCTGTTTTATCAACCCTGTGAAGCCAACCTCATTTTTAAAACTTGATTTCTTATGTAATTGCCCCAGAATGACACGGTATGATAAGTCTGGAAGAAATATCATTCGGACTGGCGAGATAAAGGCTAGTCGTGTGTAAGCGTGTTTCTTACGTTGGCCTTCTTCATTTTGCAGTGGCATTCTGAATAATTGGGTAGCATCATGGCTTAGTAACTACCAGCTAGTGTTATCAGCTGAGCTTTGGAATCATGCAGACCTGGGTTTGAGGGTAACTATGAATCTCGCTGGGGGAGCTTAGCCAAATTACTTAAACACCAAGTAGCACAGTGCCTGTCACTGAGAAGGCCCCCAGTAAGAATTATTGAATTAATCTTGCTTTACTTCAATTTTCTCACCTGCCAAATGGAAAAAAAATTATACCTACCTTATAACAGTTACAGAAATTAAACAGGATACTGCATGTCAAAGCATAGTGATCCAGCAGATATTATCTTACTTATCCTGTTACTTACAGTTCTTCTTTTCATGGGCCACACTTTAAACCTAAGCATATTTAACATATATGGCACACAACTCATGTTTCCATAGCCGGTTTTTGTAGTTTTCAATGTAGGTATCAAATAAATCATGGAGAGGGCTGAGAACATGTGGCAAGAGTGAACATGGACACGAGTTAACAGTGTCTTTGAGTTGATAGATGCAATTTCATTACCATAACAAAATGCGTGCCATCTTATACACCTGTGGGGTAATCTTAGACTGAGTCAAACAAGGCTATCAGAGGTAGTGATATCTTCCACCAAAAGTACTGTACGTACATCACTGAGTTTAGCTTCTTGAGATATTTGAGAAGATGATGTGTAATCAATAATATACCCAATAATGTTCATCAGTATAAAGTGGAATATCAGTGGTAATTGTAATTTCATGATCATGTACTTAATTACTAAGACATATGATAATGGATTATATTATCCTGGATGGAACTGGAGCCCATTCTTCTAAGTGAAGTATCACAACAATGGAAAAACAAATCCCACATGTACTCTACAATAATAAATAAACTGGTACTAGTCAATCAACACTTATGTGTCCATATAGGAAGTAACATTCATAGGGTGTCGGGCAGGTAGGAGCGGGGAGGAGGGGATGGATAAATTCACACTTAACAGGTGCGGTGTGCCCTGTCTGGGACGTGGGCACACTTATAGCTCTGACTTGGGCTGTGCAAAGGCAATTTATGTAACCAAAGCGTCTGTACCCCTGTAATAGTCTGAAATAAAAAATAAAAATAAAATACCTGGAAAATAAAATAAAATAATAAAATAAATTTTGGTACCCTGTACATTGAAGTTTCCATAGTTTGTTCTCTAACTTCCATGTTATATAGAGGCATTACTCCCATAATTTCTCTTTATGAACTTTTCTCAAAAACATTTATTTATTTAATTCTATTCATTTATTTAAAAAGCATCTGTTGAACCACTTACTGAGTGTATATGCAAAGTGACTAAAGCTGCATAGGTAGGACTGTGGCTAAGAAATTTAGAATTTAGGCTACAGTCACACAGAGCCAGTGGAAATTCTCAAACAGGGACCTAACCTGTCCAGGACTGTGCTTTAGAAAGACAACTTTGGCTGCAGAATGAAGAATGATGTAAGAGATTAAAGGAGAGATTTCAATTAGACAAGAGATATTAAAGGTCTGGATTTAGGGAGTAGCAATGAGATTGTAGATGTGTGATCAATCTGAGAGACTTTTAAGACAAGTCTTGGTCACTGAATGATCCTGCTCTGTGTGGACGAGGTTAAGGTTGACTTGAAGGCTTCCACCTGGGCATCTGAATGCTTCCATTCTTTTAGCTCTTAGAATACTTGGAGAGAATTTTATTCTGCAGGGGAGATGATAAATTTCCCTGGAAAAGCAAACTAGAAAGTCCCTTTATTATTCTTTAGACTTTAAGGCATGGGTAATTATTTTCCTGAATACTGTTCGTTGATTGCCTATTTTATATATAGATTAACACAGGCTAAGAAAGGGAAAAGGTTTTATAATCTTTAGTAAATTAGAGGCTGCAATCTGTGCTGCTGAGAATTTTAGTATGTTTGGAGGTTATTCAAGACTATTAATAGGCTTGACTTTTTACACTTGTGAGTCTTACTGTTGTGCTAAACTCTGTGCCTTTTAACAGAAAGTGTACACATCTTTAACATTGCGACAGGTGTTGGATATGTTTTACTGTTAGCTTCTACATATACATATAAAGGAATGGAAATACTCAGCATCAAAAGTAACTGCTACAAATTCTATTAACACAATAGTGTCTTTACTTTTTTAAGAATTTCATCTAGATATAAACCTATTTTACCATTATTTTTGAAAACTTGATTTTGATCGTTTAAAATCATGTTTATATAATTACTGAACTCATGTTTCCATATACCATGAAATTATAAATTTTAAAAAGGTGTCAGAATCCTCTGATGAAGAAAAAGGTGTTTTGAGTTCCATAACATTGCAGGAAATTAAAAAGTTCCCTAGCGTTTTATGATCAAACCTGAATTCATTCTTGAAATAATGGTTCTACTTAACTATAAAAATTTTACATATTTTATATCTGTGCAATATTTATTTTAGATTGTTGAATAATTTTAGTTGAACTAAGGCATCAAAGAAAGACATTAAAATCAGAAAAAAATAAGATTAAAATAGGGAATAAAAAGAAGCAAACTATAAACATAACCCAGAATGATAAATGGAAAAGATGTAATGATAAATAGAAAAATCATTAGGCTTTATTTGTATTGGGTTATAAATTATTCTAACATGATTATTAGATCTAATTGATCTCCCTACTTTACTATTATTCTCAACAGTTTCAATCGTAAGAATTGCTTTGTGACGTTGGCCATAGTGCGTTATAGAAAAACAGACAAAACAAAGTTGCCATTAATATGTGAGCACGTAGGTGAAGAAGGAACAGTAAAGCCTGTGTCCAGTGAAGCCAGTGAAAGACCACTTGACTTAAAGACTGAGCTAAGGTCCAAATAGGAAAGAGTAGGGAAGAATAATCAAGATAAAATAATGTTCACAGAACTGGAAGGAATATTGAACCAAGATAACTTGTAAACTTGTTACAGCAGCAGAGAGGAAAATGGAAAAGTAATAGTAAAAACCTGCCTTTCCAATATAAAACAGAACATCTATATTGATTTTTTTTTCATTTGAATCAATATTGGTGACTACGATTGTTTCTTACTATGATTAATCATTTCATGTTATGCTGGTTGTATTTGTGTTCAGCTTCAAAGTTAGGATCATCTTGATGAAGTATGGCTTCAGAATTTTCTTTTTAAATCATGTTTGTTGCTTGTGATAAATGCCTATAATCCAGTGTTTTTCAGTATTGATTTTGTGTGTATGTGCTGTTTTTCTTTTAAAGTCAATTGACCCTGGCCAGCAGTTCACATGGGAACATTCAAACTTGGAAGTAAACAAACCAAAGAATAGATATGCAAATGTAATTGCTTATGATCATTCCCGGGTTCTTCTATCAGCAATAGAAGGTAAGGAAATGCAGACATTATTCATACCTTTATTTTTATGGGTTTAAGTATGTGCATGAGAATATAGTTTTAGCTAGGATATTAGCCATCTATGAAAATAGTTACTTAAGATTCAGGCATAGCTTGTTTTCACTTTTTCTTTCCCACGTAAATACACCATACACAGGCACACAATAGCCCTGGCACCATATGACAGAAGAGCATTCCTCATTACCTTCTTGCCTCTACCCTAGATTAAAGAGTTGATAATGTAGTTTTTATATGGGAAGCAAATTGGGGTTGCCCATTTTACTGATGGCTGTTGATTGGTATTAATGAACAGGTGATTGTCAGAGGAGGCCCGTAAACTCCATTAAAAGACGGTTTAGGGGATCATTTATTTGTTAATAATTCTGCGGACAGTTCAGGGTTAGGAGTCGGTGGTGTGGTGAAATTTATTGTGAGAATTTTAGAAAATATATCTATGCCGTTGGAACATTGGAGATATCTGGTATATCTGAGCACATTGGAAATGTCTGGTATATTTAACATGTGGACTGCTTGGTCTGTCTCACTTTATTTCAAACCTGTCTCTCACAATTGCAGTAAGGAGTATATTCCAGAGGGAATGATTGCTAGTAAAAGATGAGAGCTACTCCTCGTATATATCTTAAGTATTCATGACGAATCTTTCCATTCACCTCTTTCCGATGGGTGCCTTTCACGTGGCTTATTAAAACAATTAGGAATTCATGCTCAATGCTCAGCATGTTCTTAGTCTTTTTGGCTGTAGTAGCACATTGGTTTGAAAAGTCCTTAGAAAATAGTTTACGATGCCACTTAAATCCTTCTCTGTGTCATCACAGCCAGCCTGGGCCACTGCTTGTCACATACCACGTTCATTTCACCCTTGCTGGTACCTGGAAGAGTTTTGTGTCCTCCTCATACTTGAAAGTTTACTGTTTACCCTCTTGCAGATGTTTTATAAAACATTAAATAATATGAGCTTCAGACTCAATCCTTTTTAAAACTTTGCAGTTGAAACATTTGCATCCATAGTTGTTCAAGTATCTGTCCATTTTTTCTGCTTCCAAAATCTGTGATGACCACCACTTTATTTCATAACTCTGACCAAGACCTACCTCCCTCCTTAGTGTCCAAAACTCATTTGAAAGTGAGGCTCTGCTTAAAAGCTTTCCCAGTAAGCACTAAAGGCAACTAATCCATTTTTTTTCCAGTGTTTTGGGAAGAAGAACTCCCAGCATTTGAGCAGGCCCATACACACAGCCCCCGCCTTGCCTCAACCCCGTGTTGTTTGGCATGGGTAGATTTTGTAAAATTCTCACAATAAATTTGCTTTTGATAGTGGAAAATGCTGTAATCCCTTTTTTAGGCAGCCAAAGATACTAGGTGTTTAAGAGTTAACCTTTTTCCGCACAGAAAAAATTGATTAAATTTATCAAAGTTTCACCAATGCTAGTTTAGGCAAGATAGCGTCAAATAGGTAATTGCTTCTTTTCAAGTCCTGTTTGAAAACTGTAATTAATATATGATTAGTATATAGAGTTTGCATTTTCTCTACATTTTCAATTTTAAAATGTAAAAAAGGATAATAGCAATTTCTTGTCTGAAGTCTCTCAAATTATCTCCACAATAAACAAAAAACTAAACCAGTCACAAATAGAGGAAAGAAATCTTTTTTTCCATTAGCAAAAGCAAGGTAAATTATTGAAACAAAATAAATGAATGCAAGTTGAGAATCTATTTGGCATGATCTTGCCTGGAGAACTTGTCAGTCTGCCTTTGCTGTATTGTAGCTTGTTTCCGCTGAGAATTAGGTCATTCAATACTACCACTTCCCTGTACTTTTGCCCACTTTGTCACTATTTTCCTTAACCTGTTATTTTCCACATCTTAACAGGAAAGTATGTCGAGAAACAGAAAAAATATACCTCCTTGTGCCTTTATTATGATAGTTGGAAACTCTGTGCATTTCATTCCCGTGCTATTTTTACAGTATAAAAGCAAAAGCACTTGAATCAGACTAAAACCTGCCTTTTTATAGCTCTGTGCCCACAAATATACCCTAAATCTAGAGCTGACCTAGAAACTGAAAGTCTTTCAATTTTAAGTATTATGCAAAAGGTTAGAAGCATTTAATTGAAGTTTATGGGCTATACAGAGAGCTTTAATCTAGATTACAACCATGAACAGCATTTTATCTTAGACTAAGCCCTAACCAGCAGGTATTTATGAGAGCAGTCAACCATCCTATATCTTAAGTACAGAAGAGAAAATGCTGGCAACTGGAACCACAGAACCACTGACTGAGGCTTCTCCTATAAAGGCAGCTTTGATAATGTAGGAACAGATTTTTTTAAGTATGCTAAAACAGTAGGTGACTTCATGCACAATTTATAAAACTTAATGTGCTTGTTTTGGGTCGCAGCTATGTTACTAACTTAAAAATGACTTTGGTTGAGGGTTTTAATTTGGGCATTTTTGTTATTCTTCTGTCAGTGGTGCTAACTACTTTCTTCATATTACTTTGCAAAGTGATCTGACAGACTGTAGGAGAAAAAAAAAAACAAAACCCTAGAAGTGGCCACAATGAATCATGTTGTCTTTATCTTTGCTTAATAGAGCAAACTTATACCCTACACTCATGGAAAGGATAACAGGAGAAAAAATAAAAAGAATCAGGAATTGTGTGCGGGCACCAATGTGCTTATTGAACTTCTTGAATATAGTGACACTTTGTGACATCTTTCCAAATCGCCGTAATTTTATTTATGCTAGGAAAAATGCAGAATAAATTCAAGAGAAGCATAATTACAAAATGTTTTCAATTGTTAAATTATAGGGTAAGCAGTATGGAAACACAATTGAATTTTTGACAAGTCCAATTACCATTGGTATCCCCTCCATGTTTAAGCATTTCTTAAGAAATACCAGTAATTCCTGAAGAAGAGAGGTGATAGGATTTATTTTAATGACTTAAGATAAATATTTTCAAATAAAGACTGAATGGAAGCTAATATTTATATGTGCATTAACACCATATATAATAATATGCTTAATCTTGTAGAATCCAAGTTGTTCAAAAAGCATACTTTTACTAAAGTAGGAAAAAAGAAATGGACAAATACATAAGATGAAGAACAAGAAAATCTGAGTTTGGGTCATAGCTCTGTCTCTAACTGACTAGGTAACCTTAACTTTGCCTGAGGCTCAATTTTCACAGCTGTAACCTCTTTCATTTCTGACTTCTAAGAGTTATCTCTATGTAGTTTTCTTATCAGTTTTTTTTAATTTATTGTACACAACAGTCTAATGAAGCAGCAGTATAAGTACTTTACTAGATAAATAAGTGTCCATATTTAGAGAGGAGAAAACTGAAGCTCAGAGAACTGGCCCAGAGTCACACAGTGTATAAATAATCTAACTCACGTAAGAATCCATCACTTCTGATTCCTTGACCAAGGATCCACTGGCCACATCATTAATAATACCTTCCTACTGATGCAGGATGTGAGAACGCCTGCGTCACTTAGCTTGGATCCAAATGACTAGCCTTATCTTTTTGCCTAAAATGCATTTTATCATTTGGCACTAGCCTTATGGATAACGCAAACGTTACATTTTAGAATTTCATTTTCTATTTTGTGGCGTAACTAACCTGAGGCAGTGAGTGACACAGTATGGGGAAGCATCAGTTACCCAGATGCGTCAGAGTCATAATATTGCAGAAGAAAAGTTAAGTATATCTATACCTAACTGATTCCACAGGTGATATACTTATCTCAAATATCTTTTTATGTATTTTAAATTTCTTATCAACCAAGGGATATCAATTATTGGCAGGTTATTTATCGTTGTGCCCTGTAATTAGCACAAATTAATTATAGTCCTCGATAAAAAACAGGTTTTTGTTCTAAAAAATAATTAATCTTCACTGCTGCCAGTGCTATAATTCCATTAGTAGGGTTATAATTAACAGTTTGCTTTAAAAGCTGTATTGACATGGATTTTTAAAGAATTGTTAACCAAGTCTAAATATAAAGCAGAATTAAAATGCTACTTTTCAACTTAACAACAAAGACAAGCAGTTATAGTAAACATGATTGGATATCTGTTATATGTTGAACACCATGTTAGGGATTTTATATATATTATCTACAATGTTGAGAACAAACCCCCAGAGCTAGTTGTCATCTGAATTTAAAGATGAGAAGACAAAAACATTTAAAAAGTCAAGTAACTTAGTTATGATCAATAGTTAGTAAGTGGCAGAGCTAAATTGCTAATATATGTCAGTCTCAAGGCTGCTGTTCTCCCCAGTAGACCACTTGGGCCTGTAGCCACTTTTGAAGTCATAATGGCTGTGCTTATGCACGTCATACCTAATTCAGAAATGGTGCCCCTTTGGCTGGGAAGACTATCTAGGAATTTTGAAATACATTTTGAAACACTTATGATAGAAATCTTAGAACTAGAGGTGTTCAGCTTTGTTCTTAGACTCCAGTCAAAGTGAATTTTCCAAAGAATAAACAACACATAAATGATTTTCAGGTGGGTTTTTTTATTTGTTTAATATTACTTTTTTAAGGTATATTGGGAAGAAGACAGGAGACTGGGAAATAAATCCCAGTTTAAACAACTATATGACCTTGAGCATGTCATTAGATGCAGTTAACAGTAACTATTTGGGGGAGCTAGATCCTTTTGATAATTTGATGAACATTTAAAACTCCACTTAAAAACAGCACCTAAACACTTTGTTTGCACACCAGTTTCAGATAGTTCATGGACACACAAGCCCTTCTACAAGCCCATTCTCCAATTAAGGAGACTTAATGTCTTTTGTTCTATTTTCACGTAAAACGATCATGTGTAAGACCCTTCCTACCATCCCTAAAATTAGGAACATTGATTCTAAATCCTGAGATCAAAAGATAATATAAGTAGGCAAATAAATATTAAATCTTGGACATTAAAGGATTAGCTTCTTAAAAAAAACA